TACATTAAATAACAGTAAAATACATTCCTCCACCATCCCCACCCCTACCACCACCAGCTGCATTTAAAAATATGCCAGAAGTGTTATAAATGGTGCAAAGGTGACAGTAAAACAATATCAAAGATGGTTGATCAACACAAACGCACTACCATTATAGTATGCTCCTCACTGAGTGACGAATCTGTTTACCAACATGGTCTTAGGAATGGAACTCTGTCAATAAGTAAAGAGAGGCTGTATATATTCTTTTATGAATATGTGTGTTGACTGCTCTTAATTAAACTTTATATGACCATGTTTTATACACTCTTAATCAAACAGTAAAAAAAAAAAATAATGAAATCGCATAATACAGCAAATAAAATAAATGAAACCTTAAATTGCAACCTTGTTAATATTTTTGGACTGAGGTAAACCATGGATAACCGAAACTGTGGAACCTGAATCCATAGATATGGGGGGCTCTACTGTATGTGAATCTATAACCAATAACAACACTAGTCAATGTGTTGGCAATACCTGAAACCACAAAGTCAAAGCCCTGTAAAGTGATCTCATGGAAATCAATTCTGGGAATGGTCTATATAAAATGAAGCTGAGCACCAGCTTATGTCAAAACCTTCAATGGTATGACCATCCACCACCACTATTACAATATCCTCAAAGCCATCACCACCACTATCACCAGGATGTGCATGTGTATATGTGTGTGAATCTATAAACTACAATAACATTAATTAGTCAATGTGTCAGCTATACCTGCAATAGTGAAGTCGAAGCTCTGTACAGCGATCTCGTGGAAATGAATTTTGGAATGGTCTATATAAAATCGAGCAGAGAGCACCTGCACACGTCAACTTCACCTAGTATTATTTAACCAGGGTATAAAATGTGAAAGTGATTGTGTAAGGCATTCTGGAGTTATAAATGAAAACCTCAGATGGTACGAGGAAACTGTAGCTGTGGATCATATGTCAGTTTGCATGTGGCCAGCAGTAACAGCCTGGTTGATCAGACCCTGATCCACCATGAGGCCTGGTCTCAGACCGAGTCACGGGGGGCATTGACCCCTGAAACCCTCTCCAGGTAACAGATGGACGGCTCTGGCATCATTCAATTCAGGAAATTTAAAAATGCTAGAAAAACATGAATTTTCAACAGTTTTTATTTTTTTTTTTTTATTATCACACTGGCCGATTCCCACCAAGGCAGGGTGGCCCGAAAAAGAAAAACTTTCACCATCATTCACTCCATCACTGTCTTGCCAGAAGGGTGCTTTACACTACAGTTTTTAAACTGCAACATTAACACCCCTCCTTCAGAGTGCAGGCACTGTACTTCCCATCTCCAGGACTCAAGTCCGGCCTGCCGGTTTCCCTAAATCCCTTCATAAATGTTACTTTGCTCACACTCCAACAGCACGTCAAGTATTAAAAACCATTTGTCTCCATTCACTCCTATCAAACACGCTCACGCATGCCTGCTGGAAGTCCAAGCCCCTCGCACACAAAACCTCCTTTACCCCCTCCCTCCAACCTTTCCTAGGCCGACCCCTACCCCGCCTTCCTTCCACTACAGACTGATACACTCTTGAAGTCATTCTGTTTCGCTCCATTCTCTCTACATGTCGAACCACCTCAACAACCCTTCCTCAGCCCTCTGGACAACAGTTTTGGTAATCCCGCACCTCCTCCTAACTTCCAAAACTACGAATTCTCTGCATTATATTCACACCACACATTGCCCTCAGACATGACATCTCCACTGCCTCCAGCCTTCTCCTCGCTGCAACATTCATCACCCACGCTTCACACCCATATAAAAGCGTTGGTAAAACTATACTCTCATACATTCCCCTCTTTGCCTCCAAGGACAAAGTTCTTTGTCTCCACAGACTCCTAAGTGCACCACTCACTCTTTTTCCCTCATCAATTCTATGATTCACTTCATCTTTCATAGACCCATCCGCTGACACGTCCACTCCAAATATCTGAATATGTTCACCTCCTCCATACTCTCTCCCTCCAATCTGATATCCAATCTTTCATCACCTAATCTTTTTGTTATCCTCATAACCTTACTCTTTCCTGTATTCACCTTTAATTTTCTTCTTTTGCACACCCTACCAAATTCATCCACCAATCTCTGCAACCTCTCTTCAGAATCCCCAAGAGCACAGTGTCATCAGCAAAGAGCAGCTGTGACAACTCCCACTTTGTGTGTGATTCTTTATCTTTTAACTCCACGCCTCTTGCCAAGACCCTCGCATTTACTTCTCTTACAACCCCATCTATAAATATATTAAACAACCACGGTGACATCACACATCCTTGTCTAAGGCCTACTTTTACTGGGAAAAAATTTCCCTCTTTCCTACATACTCTAACTTGAGCCTCACTATCCTCGTAAAAACTCTTCACTGCTTTCAGTAACCTACCTCCTACACCATACACTTGCAACATCTGCCACATTGCCCCCCTATCCACCCTGTCATACGCCTTTTCCAAATCCATAAATGCCACAAATACCTCTTTAGCCTTATCTAAATACTGTTCACTTATATGTTTCACTGTAAACACCTGGTCCACACACCCCCTACCTTTCCTAAAGCCTCCTTGTTCATCTGCTATCCTATTCTCCTATTCTCTGTCAGTTTTAAATTTTTATATTTGGAGGTACATTAGTCTTAAAATTCTCTACAATCCTTTAAGAAAAAATTGAGCTTTTTAAAATAATTCCATTTGATAAAAGCTCCAAAGATTTCAAGTTTTCAAAAAAATATTCATTGCCCTGACAAATTTGCCCTCACACAAACCAAACTGAATACGTACTATCCTGTCTTAAGATGAATCAGCCATTAAATACTGAAGCTATTCAAAAGAGCTGAAAACACATTTTGATTGTGGTTAAACTAGAATCAAAGTTTCATGCTATTTTACTCATAAAATGGTCAAAACTGCACCTACACACTTGAATTTCGCTCTCTGCCCTCGTTAAATTAGGAGGCAACTTTTTAATGTTAGAAGCTATGCCACTGAGGGTTTTGTAAGTTATTCAAGCCATTCCAGGATGCTGAATGGGTTCAATAACTTTATTCAGAGGACACTTGCTGATAGCAATTGCTCCTAGAATCTTCTTTGTTAGCAACACAAGAGTTTAAATTTGAATCCAATCAATGAGAGATTCTGGAGTTATGAGCAAAAGAATATTGAACATTTAGAGGAAGTAAAACAAATAAACCTAAAGGTTCCCCTTCAGGGATACCTAACAAAAATAATAACATGCAGTAAAACAGCAACCTGACATGGGTGGCTGTGTTGTTGGTGCACCACACCGGCACCAAACACTATCTTTCATCATGTCTCGTTGCAATATAAAGCCCTATTTTTTTTTTTTTTTTTACATTTCAGGACTTGAAGTAGCTTGAAATAGGGCTCAAAGCACAGGAAATATTTTTGACAATTTTTTTGAGGGTGAATAAGGGCCTCCTACACCCCCTGATCTGGTTATAGTTTAAAATGGAGAGCAAGTGTAATATAGGAGAGTCCCTAGGACACAATTAATGAACAGAGGAAAAGCTTAGTGCCTGGAATGTATACAGTGTTTATTTTGGACTCTCGTATTAAATTAGAATTGTTTTCACTTTTGTGTAAAACTGGCCTCATATGCATATACACACACAAACATGCACACTGTATCCAGTGTAATCCTTTCAAGGTCGGTCCCATTGTACTACGGCTTTGAAGCCAGTGTCGGCTCTATGGTGCTATGCCATGAGCTCAGCTCACTCAGATAAGTCGAGCTGTGAGTGGTAAATTTGGGCCTAGATAAGAGAGAATAGGTCTATGCAGTAAGTGTGCACCACATGAAAAAAATTCCTGCAGCAGGCAGTGCATAATTAAAAAAAAAAGACCATGTTCTTGGGTTTAAAAGAGCAACTTTGCGGTGTATTTTTGTATGGTTTTTATGGTTGTATTCTCAGTTTCTTGGTCTAATTTGATGAAATAGAAGATATATTACAGAAATAGAGATGATTTTGATTGGTTTTAGGACTGAAAATAGCTTGAAATTGAGCTCAAAGTAGCAGAAATGTTTGATTTTTGAAGATGTTCAAGAGTAAACAAATCATGTCATGCATCCAATACATGTCAACTCAACTGGTGGGTCTAATATGCATTCACGAATGCGCTATTATTTATACAATTATTACAAAATTGAACAGTAAATCTATTTTTTTGTATGAATAAAAATTCTTTGTGAACAAAAAATCAAAATGGCATTCATGTGTAAAGCCTGAAAATGTAACTAATGCAAAGAGGAAATGTTATTTTAGTGCCAGGAATGCTTGTATTGTTTATTCTAGACCTTATTTTGAAATTTAGAGTAAAATTGGCCAAATTACCAATTTCTGATCACTCTACTGGGTAGTTGAAATAATTGATTGGGCAATTTCTTGTGTTCGATCGATAAAATGAAAGACAACTAGCGAAAGAGCTAAGAATTTGGTCAACTGGAACAATGTAATTGGCCTAAAATCGGAGGAAATTGCCAATGTGTAAGTATCAAACCATACCATGGGTGGGGTTTGATCCCGCGGTCAGAGAGTCTCAAAACTCCAGACAGTCGTGTTAGCCACTGGACCAGCTAGCCACAGACCGTGGCTAACGCGACGGTCTGGAGTTTTGAGACTCTCTGACCGCGGGATCAAACCCCACCTGTGGTATGGTTTGTTTGCAATCGTGTCATTACGATTTCGAGAGTCGTGTAAGTATTGCTGACACAGCAAAATTCGTGAAAGCATAATTTCATCAGTTTTCTATCAAATTTTGTACTTTTTGTTTAATCACCTTTAGAAAAAGATTCTCTACCATTTCATAAGAATTTTTTTTTCTGAAAATTTTGCAACGCTGAAAGTAAGCTCGAGAGCAGGGGTCACTGCCCAGAAAGAGTTAAGAGTTAATTATTTATTTAACACCCAAGAAGTTATCTTCACTACCCACCTTTTCAAGATTATCAATTTCTTCCTCTCGGTCAGTCCCTTCTTCCATATCCTCCTCTTCGTCTAATGTTCTCTCATCGTCATAGTCATCGACTAGCATTTCCGCAGTGGGCTCAAATTCTCCATCTCCAGCATCGCTTTCACTTCCAGTGGTCCCTATGCTCTCTTTCTGTTGTCAAAGAAAAAAAAAAAAATTATTAGGGAAAAAGTTTACACATACATAATCCCTGCTACTGAACCTCTGAAAAATAAGGGGAGGGGGCATCTGTTCAATATGGAATTTTTGAATTTTCAGGTCCTGGAACTATATACTAAGCATCATTAGCCTCCCCCAAATAGAGCTTAGCTCTACCAATTGCCAAAGCTCTGTAGTAAGATAATAAGACTTAACTTCTGCCCCTTACCCAGCAAGAATACTGATCCATAGAAGGAAATTCATTTAACAGCATCCACTAACCGATATATGATACACAATAAGGCAAAAATTGAAAGGTGTAAACACATTCGTTCAGCCTGGTTGAGAAAAGATGACTGCCAGGTCTCAATGAATGGTGCTGACCTGTGATGCACTTCTACTATACATTTAAGGCAAAGAACCATATGCAGTTCACCTTTGCAGGAAAGTGCAATGTACTTAAGCACCAATCAGTAAATGCAATAGTAACACAGTTGTACCAGGGAGTGACACTTCAAACAAGTGCTAACTTTTGGGAGAGCTTTTAATAGAAAGACCTATTGAGTAACTAGTTAAATGATTATTCTTACCTAGCATTTAGCATTACCGGATAGTCAACTATACTAACTTCTGCTTAGCAGAAGGAAAAGTGTTTTCAACATACAGTGCTGCTATGCACAGTGTTTTACTATACGGCTATGAGTGGTGAGAAGACTGAAATTCTGGCTTGGGTAATGCACTATCAGCTGTCAATGACAACAATAACTACATTCAAGAGTTACACTACTGGCTACAACATGATACTCAGTGCATTTTAAGATTTCCAATAAAAGAATATCTTCTTCCATGTTAATGCAATGCATTAACCTTAACAAAATTGAGAATGAACTGGAAAAAATAGGGAGAGAATTCAGTAGTTCAAGAACTCGAAACTGCAACTGGTTTGTAAACAGCATCAAGCAGCATGAAAATGACATCGATCGAGCACACTGTAAATCTCCAAGCGGATATAAACCAAGTCTTTCAGTGGGTCTCAGACATCATTACAACATTCAAGGACAAATGTCAGTTATAGTAGGGCCCCACTTATATGGCAGGTTAGGTTCCAGGCTACTGCCAGAAAGCAGACATTACCAGGAAGCAAGACGCCATTTTTTCCACTTATAAATGCATATACGTAAATGCCAGGGGTAACAAGTTTACACTAGCATATATTATGTTAGCAATAGAACTAAGCATTAAAAACAATAAAAAGTAAAATACACACACACAGTACACCCACCATTACTTACCTTAAAGTATTTGTAGTCTTAATGTAAGGTAAGATTTCGTTTGGGTTTTTAACCCCGGAGGGTTAGCCACCCAGGATAACCCAAGAAAGTCAGTGCGTCGTCGAGGACTATCTAACTTATTTCTGTTGGGGTCCTCAAATCTTGTCCCCCGGGATGCGACCCACACCAGTCGACTAACACCCAGGTACCTATTTGCTGCTAGGTGAACAGGACAACAGGTGTAAGGAAACGTGTCAAAATGTTTCCACTCACTGGGAATTAAATCCGGGCCCTTCGTGTGTGAAGGGGGAGCTTTAGCCACCAGGCCTGGTGAGAGATGAGTTTTATTTGTAGAAAGTCAGGTTTGGGAAGTATGGTATCCAGCCAGGGAAGCCCTACCCACACATACTGTAAACAAACCAGGCAAACACGTCTCGTTTTCGTCACTTTACACTGTGTACAAGTTGTCTCCACACGTTGATACAGTAGAATAAATAGAGAGAAACACTCCCAATCTCATATAACACCATTTTTAAAAGAAATGACACCCTGAGTGAAGGCATACTTAACCCCTCGACTGTCGCAACCCCAAATCCTGAGGTGTCTCCTGGTGTTGCAAAAATTAAAAAAATAAAAAATTATTTTTTCTTATGAAATGATAGAGAATCTTTTCCCGATGGTAATGACATCAAAAGTATGAAATTTGATGGAAAACTGACGGAATTACGTTCTCGCGCAGTTAGCGACCTCGGCGATATTTAAAAATTGGCGATTTCGCCCACTTTGAGCCCTATTTTCGGCTAATTCCGTTGTTCCAGCCGACCAAACTCATAGATATTTTTTTACAACTCCATTTTTTTTCTATCGATTGAGTACAAGAAACTGCCTATTTACCGATTTCAACTACCCAATAACGTGGTCAGAAATTTGCAATTTGGTTAATTTCATGAAAATTAAAAAATATGACAATTTAAAAATAAGGTCCAGAATGAACAATGCAGACATTCCTGGCTCTAAAATAACGTTTTCTTTGTTCATCAGTCACATTTCCAAGCCCCTCTGATATTACTCTTGCTTTCTATTTTTAATTTTTATTCAAACAAAAAAATAGAAGATTTACTGTTATGCAGACTACTGCAATACTGTAATAATTGTACAAATAATGTCAACCCATTCATGACTGCATATTAGAATGGCTAGTTGGACACTTATTGGACAATGACATCGTTTGTTTACTTTTGAACATCGGCAAAAATCAAACATTTCCCCTACTTTGAGCTCCATTCCCAGGTTCTTTTTATAGTAAAACCAATCAAAATCACCTCTATTTCTATAATATGTTTTCCATTCTATCAAATGAGACCAAGAAAACGAGAATACAACCATAAATACTATATGAAAATAGACCACAAAGTCGGCATTTCAATTAAAAAAAAAAGGCGGAGTTTTTTTTCTCATTATGCACTGCGTGCTCCAGGATTTTTTTTATATGGTGCACACTGACCGCACAGACCCATTCTCTCACATGTGGGCCTACCAGCTTTCTCCTGCTTGATTTGAAGCCGCTAGAATTTATGAGTATATATATGTCAAACACGATACTTCGTAAGACGTATATATATGACCGAAACAGTCAAAGGGTTAATATTATGAATAACAATACAAATGAATTTATTAGATCATTGCAAATATATTAGTAATACGAAAAAAATCACCTCATTTCTGCTGTTTCATTTATTAGGCATTCTTTAGCTTCATTCATAAATTGATTTGTAGACTGGCCTTGACATAATCAGGCAACTCATTCCATTCTCAACTGCTATATAACAAGTGAGGTGTTGGAGACCTGGCTTGTTGCCACTATGTTGTAATAATGATTTTTATTTGTTATTTAGTGTGATTATTGTACTAATTATCACATCTTCAAAAAACTTATGTTACATTGTTTATTTACTATTCTATCAATTAGCTGAAGGTTTGTTTAGTCTTAAGTCTGCCTGAAATGATTTGTATATCTATGGGCACTACCACATATGACAACTTATGGACTTTACCATATATAACAACTTACAGGTCTTACCATACATGACAACTTATGGGCTTTACCATATGTGACAGCTTATGGGCTGTACCACACATGACAACTTTCGTCATTTATCATCTTCATAGTAAATATATGTGTGTGTCCACTTCTAGTACCATAATGACTTTAAACAATTTATTTACTAATTTGAACATGAAACAGAGAAGTACAAAGGAATACAGTAATTAAGTGTAACATGCCGAAGCCCCTTGTATGCAGAGCATTATGGGAAGGCTTAAAGTTAACTTAAGATTAATTAAGCAATAAGCAAATTTATTTACAAAGCTGATACATATGTACAGTATAAAAGATGGCAGGATTTAAGGATGCACAAAGAACAAGAATAGTCTCCATGTTACTGAATAAGAGCTAGATTATCCTCGGTGAACTTATACTGTTGCATAGTATTTTGTATTGTTAGTGAATTAATATCTCTCGCCTTGTTAGAACAAAATAAATATTAAACCTTCAAATATTAAAATTAAAACTATAACAAAACTATTTCAATTTTAAGAACAGTATAGGCCAAGCTTTGCCTGAAATGCAATGCATTCAATGGGCATCTGAGACAGCAATATGTTATGTCAAACAAAACCGGCTTTCATCCAATTCTGTCCCTGTTCTTCTCCTAGCCTTCCCCAGCTCCCATACTTAATTGGTAACATACCTTATCCTATTTTATTTGTAATGTAATTTAAGTAACTTGCTCTATCTTTGCCATCTCTATTCAATCACTCCACAATGAATCATTTTAAATATGTATTTTTTTTTGTAACTGGCCATTTGTCATTAGTTACTTTCCTTACTGCACTTATGATTGTAATTAACTGCATTAGAAGTCCTACTTAATAGTCTATGTCTAGTTCTTAAGTTAACTAACTTGTAAGCCTTATAATTTGCTGCTCAAAATACATTGCATAATTAGTATTTTTATTTTGTGCCTACCACTGTATTAATTCGCATAAATTACATTATTTGTATAGTATAGAGAAATGAACATTATGATTATTTTTATTATTGTTATTATTTGTAAACAAAAAGTCTTGTATGCCTGAACAGTTAGTCACCATGCCTGTCTATAGACAAAATTTAATCTAGCATTTATTTTTTTTATACTGTGTACACTATTCACTATCAATTCACCTAGCATGCATGGATAAAAGCATATTCTTAGATATTTCACTGACGTTACCATTGAGAAAGGTTTCTCGTTATACAGTATGTACTTCAAAATTATTTGCCATTTTCAGTTCACCTTTTAAGCCAAAAAGTTTAGGTTCTATTTTTTCTAAGAGTAGAGACAGTTTATTATTTATTAACCATTTACTCCAAGGCTCAAGGTTCAGTCATAGTACTTTAACTGTAAGGAGTGCATGTGTGGGATCTGGAAGTGCATGAGGGATATGAGTGTGCATTAGGGATTTGGGAGTGCTTGAGGGATCTGGGAGTGCTTCAAGAGTTTGGAAGTCCTTGAGAGAGTAACAGGCACTCCTTCATGTATGTGATCCCATGAGGGATTACATACATGAAGGAGTGCACACATGAGGAAGCAAGCATGGGTGTGTATGAGTTAGTGTGAGGTGCATGGGGGAATGAGTTTATATGGGAGAGTATCTGAAGGAGTAGTGGTGGCAACTTTTTTCATCAAGAAACAGCATTTTGTCTCCTGACGGGTCTTAACCAGATGATGACCTGTTCAATGGTTAAGCATCTGCTGGCTTACTGAACTAGGGTTTACACCTATTTCAAGAAACAAATTATGTCCATAGAGCAATAAATCCTAAAATAAGATGTCTAGGGCATTTCCTACCAAAGGGGAACATAAGAATAACAAATCACTGCAGTAGGCAAATTAGCCCATGTTAGGCAGGTCCAGCTCACACCCACTCACGTAACTCTCCAATCTATATTTAAGGCTACCCAAAGTTCCCAACCCAATGATGCTACCTGGGAGCTTGTTCCAGTCATCTATACTATTACCAAACCAGTACTTCCTGATATCCTTTCTAAATCTAAGTCTGACTAACTTGAATACACTGCTTAGAGTGATATGATGGAGTGTATACGGAAGTGACTGGACACACAAATGTGCGAAAATGTGTACAAGAGGGTATTGAAATATTTGGGGAATTGAGTATAAGGGAGTGTGTGTATGAAGAAGTTTGTGAGTGAAGGAATACATAGAGGAGGGTGGGAACAGAGTGAGATGGCAAGGACATTAGGGAGGAAATGAGTGTATGTTTATTTGGGTGCAGGTCCCCACAAGTACAATTATCATACATAATAACATGTGTAAATTGCTTAGGATAACCCTGAAAAGTCAGACAAAGTGACTAATATGCATAGGAGGTTCTTGTAATAACTTGTTATTTATAGACTAGCAGTAAATTACAGTAAAAAACAATGATCATAACCTTAAAAATTAAAATACCTAAGTAACTAAATGTATAAAAGAGAGAATAAATGTCTGAGAAGGGAATGAGAGATAGGATGGGGAAGAAGTGCACAGGGGGAGAATAAATGCAAAGGGAAAGTAAGTGCATATAAGGAAAATAAGTGCATAAAGGGAGAATAGATGCATAAAGGGAGAACAAACGCATAAAGGGAAAATAAATGAATACAGGGAGAATAAATGCATAAAGGGAGAATAAGTGCACAGAGGGGAAATAAGTGCATGGAAGGAGAATAAGTGCATGGAAGGAGAATAAGTGCATGGAAGGAGAATAAGTGCATGGAAGGAGAATGAGTGCATGGAAGGAGAATGAGTGCATGGAAGGAGAATGAGTGCATTGCGGATATGAGTGCAATGAGGAATGTATAAAGGCAACGAGTGCATGAAGAAGTGTACGTGAGGAAGTGGGTGTGCGAGGGAGCATGAGGAAGAGTATGGGAGTGCGTGAGGAAGAGATGAGGGAGTGCGTGAGGAAGAGATGAGGGAGTGCGTGAGGAAGAGATGCGAGAGTGCGTGAAGGAGAGGGAGTGCGTGAGGGAGTGGGTGAAGGAGAGGGAGTGCGTGAGGGAGTGGGTGAGGGAGTGCGTGAGGGAGAGCGAGCGAGCGAGTGACGTCCAGTTCACACTCGTCACCACCACCAGCGCGACCCATAACTCCTCTCCCTCACCTGCTCTCTCCAACACTATGCCGCCCGGGCTCTTCCCTCCCCGCCTGGGGTGCCAGGTACATACGTGGACTTCACGACGCAATAACCAGCTTCTACTACGCCCTTAATTACCAACAGCGATAAGAAATCAAGACGCAGCCCACCCAGCCAATCGTCAATCACTTATCAGCACTCATTTTGGCGTTCCAGTTACCTATTACACCGACTCTTCCGCAGTAGAAGATGGTTGAATAGCTTGTGCAGCGAGTGGCACGCCATGTAGCTGCAATTTGAACCTTTTGCGCTAATTATTCACCGAATCCCTTTAAAACGTGGCGCACTGCTCTCATCCCCCCCACCTCGAGCCAGTGTAAACAAAGCCACCTAGTGATTTCCATTCATCACATCTACGCTACTACCACTACTCCACCCTTTTTATCAATCTCAACAGTGGCTAGAATATAATTTATCTGGCCATTTTTCTCCATTAATACACAGTTTTTGCACAAATGAACAATATCAACAAGAATTGATCAAACTTCACCTCCGCCATGTTGGTTTCTATCGGGGGACGCCGGACGCCTAGAGCTTCAGTAAGGGTGTCCACCATTGGTTCAAAATCACCCACAACAATGTTCTTTCTGTTTATTGGCTACATTATGGCCAATCATAGCTGGGGCGCCAAATATTAGGCGGGGCTTTCAAATTGTCGTAATTCCTTCTGTCATAATTATTATTATTATAATAAAAAAGAAGCGCTAAACCTACAAGGGTCATACAGATAATGTCATAATATATTGACTTATTTGTGAAGGGAACATGAAAAAGAATGATGGCCACAAATAAAATGTTCAAAAACTTTAATTTTGTATATCTTATCTACATAATATATCGACTAATATTTTTAAATTACAGATTGAATTAAAAATGCATACATATATCAAATCAATTTATAAATGATTACCTCTCGAATCAAAACATGACTAAAAATGTAGATGAATGGTTCAGAGAACCGACATGTTGATAAATTAGACACATGTGCAACTCTTGGGTATCTTTATTGAGGAAACGTTTCGCCACACAGTGGCTTCATCAGTCCATACGTAGGAGAAACTTGAAGAACAGGAGGAGAATGAGGTAATCAGTCCCTCAACCTTGAGTCGATGTGTTCAGTCCATCAATCTTGATGGACTGAACACATCGACTCAAGGTTGAGGGACTGATTACCTCATTCTTCTCCTGTTCTTCAAGTTTCTCCTACGTATGGACTGATGAAGCCACTGTGTGGCGAAACGTTTCCTCATTAAAGATACCCAAGAGTTGCACATGTGTCTAATTAGTCAACATGACTAAAAAGTTATACAAATTAATTAGAGATGTGTACCTGTATGTGTACTCATCTGGATAAAAATGAATGCAGTATATTGTGATTCTTTGTTGACGTTTCGCCCACACAATGGGCTTTATCAAGTCACATTATTATAATTATAATCATGGGGAGCGCTAAACCCATAGGAATTATACAGCGCCTCTGTTGGGGGGTGGGGGGTGGAAGGTATTCAACTCAATTCAGGGACCCGGAGCACAGATCCAATTCCCCAGATCAAGAGCCCCTCACCAACGTCAAGGAACCTTCCCTGACGGGTATCAAGTCACAAACATATTAGTGATTTGTTAAAACTGTGGGCGAAAAATTGTCAATAAAGGGTCGCATTTTATTGCATTCATGTCTATCCATCGTGTCAGTACTTGACACTATTTCTGCCCTGTGTACTACCCTGGTGAACTAAGGCTGCGCAGATAATTGTAGCCTTATTGGGAGAAAAAGTCCGATTTTTTTAATTATTGTCAATAAATAAATATGCGGATACATTTTGCCCAGAATATTTAACACTTCAATTAATTAACTTTTTTTCAGATTATTATTATTATTATAATCAAGGGGGAAGCGCTAAACCCGGAGGATTATACAGCGCCTGGGAAGGGGGATGTGGAAGGCATTTAGGCTTAATTCGGGGAACTGGAGCACAGATCCAATTCCCTAAATCAAGAGCCCCTCGCCAACATCAAGGAACCTTCCTTGAGTTTTTTTTTTTCCAGAATCTGATACACTGCATCGGGCAATATAATTATATAATATATATATATATATATATTAAATATATATATATATATATAATATTATATATATATATATATATATATATATAATATATATATATATATATATATATATATATATATATTATATATATATATATATATATATATATATAATATATATATAGGATATATATTTATATAGGATGGGGTCCACCTCTGGTGTAAATTGTGGGACCCATAGCCTCGGAGAAGTGGATAAAAAGGCTTCAAGGAATAATATTTGTATTTCTTCCTGAACCCGTTTGAATATTCCACTTCCCCTACCACCCCAACCTTTCATATATTTTTTTTTTACCAATATGAATATTTTATTACATAATATGGTACAGAAGATTTAAGAGATACATTGTTGATATAAAGATGGCATATAAGGTACATGTTGTTACGTGTGTATCACCGATTATAAGGCGAAAATCTCATCTGTTCCAGCCGCTGGAACAGAAAACTAGCTGCCCTGGGATCCCTAGTTACCCTGATGAGTCTTTTTCCCAGCTCCTTAAGGAATTTAGATGCATTCTTTCCCCATGAGCCAAGTGTCTCTGAGCCTATGGGAACAAACATATAATGATGGGCAAGTTCTCCATATTTTCTAGACTTTTGGGACTCCCTGAAGCTGGCAGCTGCCCCTCCTTCCTCCTTGGTGTATTGGAGATAGGTATCAGCCAAAGTAGATGCACATGTATAGTCCCACACCACCTGCTTCCTATCTGTCCAGGCTTGAAGGGTGATACCATCTGGACGCTTCTGGCTGCCATCAGATCTGCATAGTTGGGGTGGCTCCCTTACTGCTGGGCATCCAGCTGTTGTGAGGCTCCTCTTGATAATGTTATTAACCTCCTCATGTCTTGCAATCTTTCCCTCGGATTTACGGCACACAAGACCATGGTACCCGAATCGGTCTGCTGCTTCACTGCCACAAATACACCTGTGTTCGGCGAGAATAGGGGCAGCAAGTCGAAGGGCAACACCGATGTGGATAGTCTGTGGGTCGAGGCGTGTGCCAAGGCTGAAGTTGGGAACAGCCAACAGAAAGTCCCTAGCATGAGGCGCTCTCACTGCCAGGAGGCGGGCTCTATCCTTCCCTGACACACTCTGAAGCATTGTTGAGGCTATATTTTCCACTATATATATATATATATATATATATATATATATATATATATATATATATATATATATATATATATATATATATATATATATATATATATATATATATTTATATATTTATTTATTTTAAGTACTGCCCCATTGTGTTACTCTGCTGACATTTTACGGTGCCCTGTGGCCTGGTGGCTAAAGCTCTCGCTTCACACAGCAAGGATCCGAGTTCGATTCCTGGCGAGTGTAGAAACATTGGGCGTTTCTTTACACTGGTTGTCTATGTTCCCCATCAATAAAATTGGTACCTTGGAGTTAGTGGACTGGTGTGGGTTGCATCCTGGGACAAAACTTACCTAATTTGCCTGAAATGCTCAGCATAACAAGTGGCTTTCTATGTAGTCATATGTCATTATTGTCAGCTAGGACTGTATACCTTGTACTTGTACTTGTAGAAATAAAGATATTTCATAATTCGGAGTAAGAGCCGTATTTGCCCAATATCCTCCCATCACACAAGATGGTTTACCGGGATGGCTTACCTGTCTATATTCCTTTCACACGGGATGGCTTACCTGTCTATATTCCTTTCACATGGGATGGCTTACCTGTCTATATTCCTTTCACATGGGATGGCTTACCTGTCTATATTCCTTTCACACGGGATGGCTTACCTGTCTATATTCCTTTCACATGGGATGGCTTACCTCTGATTCTTTTCATGCAGGATGGCCTCTTTCATATTCCTTCACATGGGATGGTTTACCAGTCATATTCCATTGTGCAGAATGGTTCACCAGTTTACACGGATGGTTTACAATTATTCATTGCGCGGCTCGCGAGCCGCCAATAACAAGATATGCAGGCTAATATTACCATGTCTAATTTTTCTCATTTATTATATTGCACTAGCAGCTCAGTACTACTTAATTTAGTTGAGTTATGCTAACTTGCAATAGCTGTGGCTCTCTCAATCAATGTGTTTAACCGAAGTGGCTCTCTTGCAAAAATTAGTGAATAACACTGATTTAGTTTACATCATACAGGATGACTCACGAAATCGGGTTCTAACCCTGCCCGTGGTATGGTTTATCATACAGGATGGTATACCTGTCATATTCCTTCACACAGGGTAGTTTACCTGTCATATTCTATCACAGGATGTTTTCCCTGTCATATTTCTTCACTGTCATATTCCATCACAGAGGATGGTTTACTTGTATTCCTTCACATGGGATAATTTACCAGTCACATTCCTTTACAAAGAATGGTTTACCTGTCATAGTCCTTCACAAAGATTGGCTCACCTGTCACATTTCATTTCACTGGATAGTTTCCCTGTCATATTGCATCACATAAGATGGCTTTTATGTTATATTCCTTCACACAGGATGATTTCCATTATATTTCTCTTAGGATAGTTTATCTGTCATATTACTTTGCATTGGTGGGTTTACCTGTCATATTCCATGCAATAGGTTAGCTTTCCTGTTATATTTCTTTACATATTTAAACCATCATATTCCATCACACAGGCTGAATTACTCATCATATCCTATCATATAATGTTTTCCCTATGATATTCCATCATTTAGGATGGTTTACTTGTTATATCTGACCACACAGGATGGTTTACCCATCATATTCCTTAACAGAATGGTTCACTTGTCATATTCTATCATGCAAAATGAATTAGTCACATTCCATTATAAAAGACAGTTTACCTCTCATAATTCTTCACATAGGATAGTTTACCTGTCATATTCCTTTATACAGGATAGTTCACCTGTCATATTCCTTCATACAGGTTGGTTTACCTGTCGTATCCCTTAGGAGGCTGCTTAATTTGTCATTTTCCATCACACAGGGTAGTTTACCTGTCATATTCTATCACAGGATGTTTACCCTGTGCTATTCCACCACACACAGTTTACCTGTCATTACCAATCACATAGGATGATTTCCCCCATTGTATGCCTTCATGGGAAAGTGTACCTGATACATTCTTTCAAACAGAATGAATTACAGATCATATTCCATCACAAAATATAGTTTATTGTCATATTCCTTCTCAAAGGATGGTTTACCTGTCATATATATTCACAGAGGATGGTTAACCTGTTACATTCCATTACACAAGATGGTTTATCTGTCATATTTCTTTACACAGGATGGTTTACCTGGCATATTCTATCACACATGAAAATTTCTGTCACATTACATTACACAGGATGGTTTACTTGT